TGACTTCTGGTTATTTTTTTATTTTTTTATCCTCACCCAAGGACATTTTTTCATTGCTTTCAGAGAGGCAGAAACATCAGTTGGGTGCCTTCTCCTGTGCACTCCCCTTCTAACCCCTAACTGGGGATTGGACCCCTGACTTTTTGGTTCTGGGACAATGCTCCAACTCCAACGCTCAGTCACACCAGACAGGGCTCTGGTTGCATTTTAATCACTACCTTGTATCACTGTTGAAAGATGATTTCTCTGCTCTAAATATCCTCATTAGATTTTTTCCCTAACATGCCCTGATTCTCAAGTCAACTGCACCATGGCTAGCATACAGTGAAGAGCTGGAGATGTCAAAAACCTTAATATAGTCTAGTAATTTTTTCTCTATATACCAGATAGAACGGTCACTGGTAACTATTATATGAACCTGTGCAATTTTTAAAAGGAATATTGGAAAATATACATGCGGATTTTCACTTAAAATTTTAAGTTCATGTTTAGTTCTAAGTCCACACATTACATGTTTGTAATTAAATGTGGACCTTTGTCTCTTCTTTTCATTCCAGCTTGCCTACATGTAGCCTGTGTTGTACAGCAGAAAGATGCCAGACAGTGGTTTGCTGAGCTTTCTGTGGATATGGAGAAGGTATTCTTTAAAATTCCCTAAGTGGAATATAAACTTGAACATTTTAAAGTTAATGTTATACTTACTTATCATGAGCCTAAAATCTTAAGATGTCTACCAGGCTAAAAAAAGGTTTTCGGTTAAAAATAATAATGATGATAGTAACAATAAAGAAATATGTTTGACAAGAAGAGTCGATATTGACTGTTTAGTTACCGTTTCTTTTCTTGGTTTATTTTAAACAGAATGGTAAATGTTTAGTTTGATTAGTTGAGGAGCAGCCCCTGATTTCCAGGATTATTTTAAAAGCCACCTAGTAACCACTAAATACTACTGTAAACTTCTGAAACACAGCCTATCTCCTGGTAAAGCAGTTTTTGGCCTTTTTTCTATCTTTTCTGCTCAAATGTTGTTAGCATTAAAATCGATCCAAGGTTAGGTTTACTGTTGTGAGGAAGAAAGGGCCATTTTGGAAACGATATGACAGGTTTGTAGCTGTCAATTTTTTAGCTCCTTAGCTTTTTTACAATAGTTAACAGAATTAAAACATCTTTTGTGCACTACCTCCCATTAAATTGTTTGAAACAATTGGTTTTAGAAGAGCCTACTGTATAATGGTGAACTTCATGATTTAGACCTCTATTCCTAGTACCTCATTATTTTGCTTAGGTTTAGATATCAGCAGATAGAAGGAAACCAGCTGCAGAGAGATGGGGAAGGATGGACAGGGCATACACGTTAACATAGGAGAGGCCAGAAGGAAAAGCCTAAATAGCAGTGTGCTAACAATACTCCTGTCACATTTATCAGGATTGTCAAGCCTGAATACTTAAGGACAGAGACTCTTATCTTTTCACTGTTTTCTGAGGGATACCTAGTATGTAACGTGTATTCGTCATATACTAAATGCTGCTTAACATTGCCATTGAGAACATTTCAAATATTTTCTTTTAGATTTTGGAAATAATCAGGGTTATTTTAAAACTATATGAACAGTGGAAGAATTTTGATGAGAGAAAAGAGATGGCAACTATTCTTAGTAAGATGCCGAAACCAAAACCTCCTCCAAACAGGTACTTAATTATCTATCTATTCCATTTAATTTTGTATTTCATGTGCATTATCACATTTTTTTCATAGATTACATTATTTTGTTTTTTCCTTAAAATTTCTTCCAGAACTTCATAATACATACTAATTTTTTAAAATTTGTGACCTGATAGGTTGAGAATATCTCATTTTTAAAAATTAATTGGATCATCTGTATAGTAACTTTTCCTCATGCAGTGGCAGGTCTATTACAGGTATCCCTCAACATATGGCTATATAGCATACATAAACTTAAACAGGACAGAATTAGGCCAGTTTATTGGAAATTCAGAGATAAAGAATTCTGTAGTATTCCCATGTCAGTTGGACTCTGTGCCATCTCCCCACGTCCCCCCACCCCCCAACTACTGGCTATTATCCTATTTTTATAAATTCCAGTAGCAGTTTTCAAAAACTTAGATTATTATTCTAATATTATAAGGATAAAAATTTTTGCCTTTTGACCCATGTGGTCCATGGCACCCAATAACATAATTTTGCTAAATATGAATCACTTGCGCTAAGGGAGTTTTTGTTGTTTTAATAGGATCTGTTCATTCAGTTCAGTGGTTCTTAGCTTTCACTGTGCATCAGATCATTCGGGGTAAGGAAACAAGGTCAAAAGGGAAATAAAGAAATACGCCTATCTTAATTAACTTATACTTAAGTTATAAAACATTGAGATAAATTTGTAGATCTGATATGTTAAAATGTCACTGTTAGACAAAAATAAGTAGTTATACAAGGAGCTGTTTTAAAGCAGTCATTCAAACAGCTACCTTTGGATGCATTTTTTGCAGAAATTCCCTGAGTGATTCTCCAATAGTGGCAGGGCCTGAAGCTACAAGATGATGATGGACAAGATAAGGCAATAATCCTATTGCCACAATTACTGGTATTTTCAGTTTTAGTTACTGTTATGTTAAATATTCAGCATTTTCCAGGCAATTACCTTATTTCTGATTTATAAAGGTTTGCTATGTTTACATAACATTTTGGTATGGCTTCAGACAATAGTTTTCTTGAAAGAACACATCTTGATTTTCATAACTGGTTAATGGGAATAAGATGTTATATGTAAGATTTAATTTTATAGGAAATTTGTTCAGAAACTCAAATCTATATGTTGAGTGATACCTGTAATGACAATGAAATCCTGTACCCTAATTTAAATTTTTTGAGTGTATATGGATACTAACTTTCAAAAAGCTTGTTATGTATGAGGACACTAAGTTACATAAGAATAAAAATATAAAACCAAACCTTAGTCTTCTGGATTTTAATTTTTCCACATCTGTGTCTTAATATTGGGAGTGTCTTTGTTTTGTAAGTTTTTACCATGGAATAGCTAACTTTAAAAATTAGTAGGCTTATCAGGGTGTTGAAGTGAATCTTTTAATTTGTATAAAATCTTTCTTCCCCACTTAAACAGTGAAGGAGAGCAGGGTCCAAATGGAAGTCAGAATTCTAGCTACAGCCAATCTTAAAACATTCCGAAGAATTCCGTAGTGGACCAGTTGGAAATAAACCATTGGACAGATTTCAGTAATGTCTTCAATGGAACACAAATGAAAACGAATAGCTTGTTTCTGTCAAGCATACTGGGAAGTGATTTTATTTTTGCAAAATAAGTTTTTCCTTACCTAATTTGATTCTAGTACATAATTGATTAAAGTATCTTGATTATAAAAGTTTGGAAAGGTTCTAAAGGGACCTACAGATATTTCAAAATTAATAGTTTTTGATTAGTATCATTTTTCTTAATTTGGGTAATAGAAATTATAGCTTTGTATTAAGCCAGGAAACATGAAGCATAATTTGTTTAAAATTATCTTTGGTCATTGAAGGACCAAAAAAAAGGACATAAAAAGTGAAATATATGAGGGTTTTTTCCCCCTCCTTAAGTTAAACTTTAAAACTGTATTTAAGGAATCAAATCTTACAAAATCCTGGAAGATTTTGGTAATGATGTTGATAATTTCAGGGAAATTAATCAAGTACCTATTGATTTTAAAGTGTATTTTATTCAGTAGTTTTAGTATCTTGCCATGGAAGATACTAGCCCAGCCTAGCAGAAAAGTGCAATATGTATAGCATACTTTGACATTTAAAAAGTTATATTAATTCTGTAACCATTTTGAAATGCTGGGCAAACTTTTAAAAAAACCTACATGAAGTCATTTGCATTTGATTCACAGTTAAATCAGGCATTTAGAAAGCTAATTGGATAAAAAATATGGTCGAAATTTGGTAACATTTTAATGTTGATTTTTATTCTACTGTGAAAAGTTTTTATATGACATACACACACTAGTTTATTTTTGTGTCTTAGTGTGGATTTACAAATTTATTACAGGTATCCTGAGCCAGGAACACAATCAGGTTTCAGGCCAGTTTGATACTGGCTATTCTTAATTCTCATGAGCGTAGGACTTAAGACTAAATGTTATGTCAGTGGGACTGTGCTGTCTGTGGAACTTAATAAATTAATCATTTTCTTCAGACTTGAAGGAGAGTGATAAATAAAATTTGGAGTCATAGGATATTGATGTACAATTTAAGGATTAAAATTTTTTTTATAAGTCAATTGTGAACAATGAATTATAAAATTAAGTGTTGATTTCCTAGTATAAAACTGCAAGAATAAAAGTACGTTCTCCAGCTGTACTGGCCAGTGTCTTGATTATTTATCTTAACCGAATCTACCTTATGTTGTTTTCTGAGAGTTCTTCTTCCTTTAGGCAAGTATTAAGCCTTCTATAATTTGTCAAGTGAGTAATTTCAAATGGTTTAAAAGCAAACTTTAGAGTTCTGCTTCCTTGTGGAGAGTAGCAAAGAAACTGGAAAAGGAGATGTATAAAGTCAGTACCAATGACAAATACAGGTCTCCTAGGCTCAAGGTCAGGGTAAGAAATAAGAAAAAAGCTTTCCTCGGATCCAAAGGAATTAAGATTGGCCTTGGGTTGAAAGAGCTGAGTGATTATATGTCATAATCATTGACTGAACCCTAATTTTTCCTTTAAATTTAACTATATTCTTTTAAAACTTTGTTTCTAACCTTTTATTATAGAATTTTTAAATCAACATATAGAGTAGATAAAATAGTGTAATGAACCTCCACGTATCTATTACACAGCTTCAACAATTAACAATTCATGGTCAATTTTATTTCATCTAAACTCTCACCCACTTCCCCCAACATGCATATTTTGAAGCAAATCCAAGATATCATTTCATCCATACTTATTTCAGTATGTATTCTTAAAAGATAATTTGCTCTTTAAGAAAAAACTGTAATAGTAGTATTGTACCTAAACTATAATTAATCATAATTTGTAATACCAAATACTCAAATGTTCAAATTTTCTACTATCTCTTAAATATTATGAAATATTGTTTAATTCTAGTCAGTACCTAAATGAGGACCATACATTGTAATTCATTGATTCATCTCTTAAAATTCATAGATCCATTTTCATCTCATTTCAGCATCATGTTCTGAAGCTTTTCCTTTGGGATGAGTCAATTTCTTCTAGAGAGAAAGCTCTCTAGCTTTCTGAGGGGTCAGTTCTTGGAGACAAGTGAGGTTAGGGGGCTAGGTATCATTGTTCAGTATTCAGTTTCACTTTTATCTTCCTGTTTTCAGTAAGGGATCTCATTGCCATTCCTACCCCCAGATGTTTAGCTGGAAGTTTTGCCTGCCTTCTTTACTCATTAATGTTAATGCAAAACAACAACCCTGAATTATTTTGTGCATATTAACAAGTACTATATTTTATGGATTCACAGAGGAAACTATTATCTCCATCTGGATACACTTCAGTCAGATTCTACCGTTATCGTCCTTCATTAAAATTTCTCTTTTCCTTACTTTGCTCCTGGAGAAACTTGGAGCACTGAAAAGAAATAGTAACAAAATTACATTTTTTCACTAATACACTGCTGCCCTTTCAGACACTGAAAAATAATTGTTACTGGATGGTGGAAGAAGCATTTAATTTTCCATTTGTCCTTAACAAAAGAAATTTCTCACCAATTAGCTGCTGATTCCTACATTTATCCCGTATTTCTATGGTATATACATACTAAATAGCAAAAGGGTACATTATCACAGAATCTGAGAGACCTCAGTGAGATCAAAAGGCAGGTAAGAAAGAAATGTAAATGAAGAAAACCTGAGACATTGATTAATTCAGAACTCTTGATAATTCAGAACTCTTGAGGCCATCCACTGCTGACACTTTTCCACATTTCTAAAACTTTTGATTACATTATCAGAGTAAAAGTGATATTCTCCCATGATTAAAACAGCCACTGTTAAATTTGTGTTAATATGCTATATTCTTATGTTTTGAGGTATCTGATACCACAGACCTTAATAATGTTTTTACTCTTGAGTTTTATTGTGAAAGTGCAATTTCAGATATATAATTGTTAAATTGTTTCAGAATAACATTTTCTTTACCAGTTTGATATAGTAAATAAATTATTCTAATTAATTTATTAGCCCTAAGTTTTTTAAAAAGATACAAGTACAATTATATTTGGGCATAGAATACCCAGACAGGATATATTATTTATCATAGTTTTTCTTTTAAAATATCAGGAATCCAAAGGTATTAAAATTATACAATCTGGTGTAAGTGTCTCTAAGTTAGGGATATGTTAACAACATTGTTAAAGCCTATGTTCTCTCCCTGAAGGAAGCCAGTATGGATTTTGTATTTATTATTCCCATAATTTATTTGTACTATATATGTACATATGCATACACATATAAATAATAAATGGCATTTTGCTTGTTTTCAAACTCTTGTACTGTGTTTCTGAAATTCGTGTTTTCACTCATCACTGTGAGAGTCATCCATGTTAATATATGTATCTGTTTTTTCATTTTTATTAACCCTCTCAGCTATGGCTAATCTGTTAAAATTGTCATCTATTGGGTTTTAAATTTTGGTTACTGTATTTTTAAATTCTAGAATTTCTATTTGATACTTTTTTGTAGTTTTCATTCCTGTAATAAACTTTTCTGTTTTATCATCTAAGTTATTGAATATAAAAATCACAGTTATTTTAAAGTGTGTGAAAACTCCAATTGTGTAGCTCTTTTGTGGATGTTTCTTTTTCAATCATGAAGTCCTCTTTACTGCTATTTCTAGTAAGATCTGAAAGAATTCTGAACATTGATATGAAAAACTATTTAACATTTCTGTTTCTGGCTCAAGGGTGGGCTAGATTCCACCTGCCACCTGTTTTGGGCTGGTCTTTGATCTAAGAAATGTTTGCTTTATTTTTAATGTTTTAAAATAATTAAAAGAATATCTGGCAATACATGAAACTTCAAAATACAAAATTCAAACCTAACCAACCACAGATTGTTATTGGAGTAACAGCTACACTCTGATTTATGTATGGTCTGTGGCTGCTTTTGTGCTACTGTAGCAATTGATGAACAGAGACCTTATGGCAACTTAAAGTATTTACTGTTGACAAGCCCTGCCATAGCTAGACAAATGATATCTTTCTCCAAGAGAGGATTTACTTCTGGCAGGCCTTTAAGGGTATCAAGAAGATCACCTTAATGCATTCAGGCATTTAGTTGATTCAAAGCTGGCCTTAACATTTTTATGAGAGTTGGTCAGTTTCTTGTTCACCTCCACTCCTACAGTATAGCTTATCAGGGGTTCCAACTAAGTTATATAAAAGCCTGTTGTGTTTAACCCAGATTCCTATTCCTTGATGGGTTCACTGCAACAGTGGCTCATTCTGTACAGCTTTCCTTCTTGCTGGTTTTGCCGTTAGGCAGATTTTATTTATATATTTATATAAACCATATTACTAGGGCAAATACACTAAGGATACAGCAAGGATATGAAAAGGCACAATCTCACAGAGAAGGAAAGCTGTAGAGAGAATGAACCAACACTGAAGTCTCTGCATATGTTACATGTGTGGATTTCCCAGCTTTTCTAGTTATGTGGGGAGTGTGCTAGAAACTAGACTGACATCAGAAATAGAAGCTCAAGGTGATCACATCATATCCCTACTCCAGATTCTCCACTGGCTTAATATATATCATTAAGGACAAAGCACGTTCTTACAGTTACTTGCTAGGCCTTACATGATCTGGATGAAAAACATAAGACTGAAAACAGGTGGGTCCGAAGAGGTACAGGTAGAAAAAAGCACAAATTTGTTTTACCACCGGGGCACTAGGGCACTAACAAGTGCAAGACATTTCAAAGGAATATACTCATGCTAGCGGTTGAGTTTTTCTTCATTTTTATTTTAATTGATACAATTATAGAAAATATATTTTTTAAGGGTCCAATTAAATGAGTTTTGGTAAGTGTATAGAACCATGTACCACAGGGCATTTTTATCACCCTAGAAATATCCCTCCTTGCCTTTTTCAGTTAATCATCCCTCAACAGAAGCAATCACTGTCCTGATTTTGATCTATATAGATCATATTAATTTTTAAACTCAAAGTTATATCACTACCATGCTGGTCACAACACTGCCATAGTCTTTGGATGCTATTAATGTATTTTCATTTTTTATTATTTCATCTACTTACAAGGATCCCAGGTCCTTGGTGTTTTAATGTCAAGTCTGTTTATTAATCTGGTCTAACCCATAGCCTCTGATGGATAGAACGTATACTAACAAATGGTCACACATTACAATTAGGAAATGGAGGTAACCTGTTCTTTTGGAATACTATTGAACTCAACTGTTCAAAAAGTAATTCCTCGAATCCCAACCCTTATACATCCACGGCAAGTCACTTACAGTGTCTTGATCTTCAATAGCTTTTACAAGTAGGTAGGGGAAGTGGTATTCTCAATTTACAGTTGAGAAAAAGTTTTGTCAAATAATTGACTTACACAAAATTCCCTTCCCATTTGTCAGTGGTGCCAAAGAGAGATTTTTATTCTTTTGCTCATTCCATTGTGCTAGGCTGCACGTACACAAGGAAAGAGCCAGCCTGTAGTCCAGAATTCAGTTTCCTTGTTTCTTCTCTGAATATTCATAGGATGCCCATTCTTTCCATCCTCCAGCATAGTGTTGAGCACTAAAAACATACATGAAATAGTGCTGTAAACATTTTCTCCGGCTTTATAACACAAGGTTGATAGGAACTTTATGAACTTCAGAGACGCAGTGGCTACTCAGCATACTATTTAGACTTTCAGCCTATTTAAAAGATTGTGTTACTTTTGAGTAGTTATGAAAAGATAGAGGCTCTTACTCTTGCTATACTGCCATTACTAACAGTAATTATAAGTTCTTCAGTACTCCAATAAAAATGCAATACATATGAAACTTTGCAATATACATGCTTGAATACATTTTTACCCTTCATCCGTGTACCTGTTAAAGCCCAGAGACATTGCTGTGTCCAGAGCCTTCTTGCTTCTTATTCCAGCTAAACAAGAAAACACTAGCCTGTCAGATTTGGATGGCTTCAATTCACTGTACTTCTGTTTGAAGTCTTCTGGGTTCATCTGTAGAGCTTCACCTACCTCACCCACTGGAAAAAATGTAAAGACTCTCGATTAAATTTTATCTACAGTAAATTGGCTGAATATATACATTTTTTGTAATGAGTCAGTTTAAGACACGTCACTTACATGGTATATTGACAGACCCAGGGATTTTTCCAGACTCAAGAATTTCCCATGTCTCTCTAACATCAATTAACATAATTTTTTTGGAATTCATGAGGTTTTTAAGTTCCTTATAAGTGACATCTTTAAAAACAGCAGTACAAAAATTGTAGCAGTTTCCTTCTATTGAGTTCAAACCTGGAAAGAATACAGGCACAATAATGGTATCACTATTAATATCTGCAAAGAGAAGTTCAAAGGAATTTTCCCCGTTCCAGTCAGCTAACTATACTTGATCTTTGACTTTACTAAACTATATTCAATGTATATATTTTACACAGTCTGACTGAGCAGGAGGACGCAGCCCTATCTTCCTGCCCTGCTCGCTTGATGGCTGGCTTTGTGTCAGCTCTATATTCTCCCCTCTCCAAGCCCCTTAGTTGGAGTAACCTTGTAAACACACATGAAGCATTTGTTGAGTGAACTGTGTAAATAATATGTAAGTCTTATCATGATCTAAGTTTAATATTAAAATTTTAATTTCATTTCCCCTTACAAGCAAAAATAAGCCATACATTAGATATGAGGACCTTACATTTGAAAGCACTTGAAAGTTCTTAATGGTACTGTTTCTCTGTTAAATAATTGGTAACGTAACATGGTAATGGTAATGGATAAACAACCATACAACAAAATCCAGAGGTCCATACTCATGTAAGGATATAACTGAACAAGTAAGTGGGGAAAAAGGATTGTTTTAATTGATAAATGTTGAAGGAATAATGGAAATACCATCATGATTAGGTAAACACCCCAGTAATTGTTGCGGCAAGAACCACTGATGGATACTAGAGTTAGTAGATGAAAGTATGATGAGAAAAGGGATAGTATCCCTCCAGAGATACTTACTAATTACAAAGGGAGACACCAGAAAGATACCACTAACCAATTATTCAAAGATCAGTAGTAATACAGTAGTTGAGAACATGTACCCTGGTGTGATGTACTCAGAAGAACATACCACTGCCTTTGTATTCTTGCGAAAAATGCATATCCTCCATCTAATCGGAAGAAAACCTCAAACCATTTACAAGTGTCGGTCATGGCCTGGCTGATGTGGCTCGGTGGATGGCGTGCTGGCCTGAGAACCAAAGGGTCATCAGTTCAATTCCCTGCCTAGGGCACATGCCTGGGTTGCAGGCCAGGTACCCAGTAGGGGTGCACAAGAGGCAATCACATATTGGTGTTTCTCTCCACTCCCCTCTCTAAAAATAAATAAAATCTTAAAAAATAATAAAGTATGTACAATGAAATTTTAACTCTGTTCAAATACCTATGTTTTATAAATAAAGATTCAAGGTAAATACACTAAAAAAAGTATAAGTCATGAAAGACAAAGACTGGAACTCTCACAATTTAAAGGAAAGGAGCCGTAACAATTTAATACAAATGTAGGATCTTGGATTGGATCTGGGATTATAAAAGGCATCAGTGAGAAAACTAGTGGGTTTTTTAAAAGATTTTATTTATCTTTTTAGAGAGAGGGGAAGGGTGGGAGAAAGAGAGGAAGAGAAACATCAATTGGTTGCCCCTCTCATGCCTGCAACCAGGGACCTGGCTCGCAACCCAGGCATGGGCCTTGACCTGGAATCAAATCAGTGACCTTTTGATTTGCAGGCCAGTGCTCAATCCACTAAGCCACACCAGCCAAAGCAGAAAACTGGTGGAATTTAAATTAGGTCTCTAGATTAGTTAATAGTATTATGTCAAAATTAATTTCCTGGTTTCAATAATTGTACCAGGTAAGATGTTTATATTAGGGGAGAGTTGGGTAAGAATAAAGGAAACTCTATTTTACTTTTGCAACTTTTCTATAGGTCCAAAATTATATTTTAAAAAGTGAAAGACAACACAAATTTTAATTAAGGCAAAGTTAATGTTCATATTTCACAACAAAACGACCACTATAAGGAACGTAAATAATGCTTCAAATGTTTGAGATATTAAATATAATGTGAACTTATTTTAAGTAGTGTAAAACTGACATAAGAAGTTTCAAAGGTCTAAGTCCAGAAACAGGCCCATAATATTCCCTCTATGATAATTTGGTATCTGATAACAGTAATATTCCAAATTTATGGGGAAATTATATGGTTATGTGTCACTTAACAATGGGATATGTTCTAAGAAATGCATCACTAGGTGATTTCGTCTCTGTGCAAACATGACAGACTGCACTTACACAAACCTAGATAGTAGGACCTTCTACACCCCTACGCTATGTGGTACAGAGTGTTGTCCCTAGGCTACAAACCTGTACGGCATGTTATTGTACTGAACGCTGTTGGCAAGTGTAACACAATGGTATTTGTGTATCTAAACATGTATCTAAACATAGAAAAGGTACTGTAAAATTATGATACAAAAGATAAAACATGGTACACCTGTAGGGCACCTACCAGGAATGGAGCTTGCAGGACTGGAAGTTGCTCAGAGTCAGTGAGTGAGTGGTGAGTGCATGTGAAGGCCTAGGGCATTACTGTGCACTGCTGTAGACTTTATAAACACTGTACACTTAGGCTACACTGATTTATTTTTCCTCCAATAATTAATTAACCTTAGGTTTCTGTATGTAACCTTTTTACTTGATAAACTTTAATCTTTAAAAACTTTTTGACTTTTTTTGTAATAATACTTAGCTTAAAATAATCATGTTGTACAGCTGTACAAAAATATCTTCATGTCCTTATTGTGTAAGTTTTATCTATTTAAAAATATTTTTTAGTCTTTGAACTATTTTTCCTTGTTGTTGTTAAAAACTAAGACACAAAAAAAATTAGCCTAGACCTACATAGGGTTAGGATATCATCAATATCATTGTCTTCCACCTCCACATCTTGTCCTACTGAGACAGTAACACGCAGGGGACTGTCATCTCCTGTGATAACAATATCTTCTTCTGGGACACCTCCTGAAAGACCTGCCGGCGGCTTTTCTTGAGGTGTCACTTTTTCAGAAATACGTCCATGGTGCTTTGGTGTATTTTTTTTCATCACAGATTTGTAAAGCAGATAATTCAACGTGAACATTCCTCTTTGTTATTTGGTGTTGGTGTCCATGTTTTCAAACTTTTTATTTATTTATTTTTAGAGAGGGGAAGAGAGGGAGAGAAATGTCAACATGTGGTTGCTTCTCACATGCCCCCAACTGGCATCTGGCCCACAACCAAAGCATGTGCCCTGACTGGGAATTGAACCGGGGACCCTTTGGTTCACAGGCCGGCACTCAATCCACTGAGTCATACCAGCCAGGGCCCATGTTTTCAAATTTTTTAAGGAGCTTGTTGAAGTCTGCAAAAGCTTCTGTTAAACTCTTCACTGTGAATTTTCTTGGGGGTGGTTCTTCTTTTTCTTCTGCAGTTTTCTTTTCTCTTGCCTCTTCAGCTATGCATTCATGTTGTAGTTCCAACAACTCATTAATCCATTACTCAGGAACCACCTCCAAGAAATACTCAATGTCATCCTCATCTACACACAAGTCAAAGTTGTTTGCCATCTCAACCACCACCTTGTTGATTTTTGTAACCTCTTTATCCTTGGCAAATCCTTTGAAGTCAGGGGCTGAATGATCACTAGGAGACAGGAATTTTTCAGCTCCATTCTAATCTTATGGGATTACCGTATGTGCATACTAGGCAAGTCATCATTGACAAAAACATTTTGTAGCAAGGTATGTATCCAAAAGAATTGAAAACAGGGATTCAGATAGATATTTATATACTGATGCTCATAGCAGCATTATTTATAATAGTCAAAAGGTAGAAACCCAAGTATTCATCAATAGCTGGATTTAAAAATGTGGCAGAGACATACAATGGGATATTATTCAGCCATAAAAAAGAATAAAGTTCTAACACATACTACAACATGAAACTACAACATTGAAAACATGCTGAGTGAAATAAGCAAGACACAAATAGGAAAATATTTTATGATTCCACTTATATGACAAATCTAGAACAGATAAATTCATAAGAACAGAAAATAGGTTAGAAGGTACCAGGGTACTGGAGGGAGGAGGGATAGGGAGTTACTGCTTAACAGGTACAGAGTTTCTGTTTGAGATGACTAAAATTTTTAGAAATAGTGGTAATGATTGTACAACACTGTGAATATCTATAATGCTATTGAATTGTATACTTGAAAAGGATCAAAATGGTAGTATGTATTTTACCACAATAAATATATTTTAAAAATAAAAATACAGGCTTTTCCATCCTTTTCAGATTTTAAAAAGCTGGTTCATTTTTGTCAAGATTAGATCTTAAAACACCTGGAACTCAATCTCTTTCTTTCAACTAGTTGTTTTGTGGATTCCCACAATATAAAGGGCCAGCAGGCCAAATTCACACTTGTTAACTATTCCTCAATGTTCGGAACTGGAAAAGTATGGTAATTTTAAAAATTATGTTAAACTCAAGGCTGTGGCACTTAGCCACTGGGAAACATAACCACAGAATGTGGCCTGTGTAACTAAAGAAAAGATAGTTATAGTTTTCTTGTTAAAATTGACATATAACTTTCTCCAATTCAGCTATACTGTTTGGGAGGGGGTGCTGGGGAAAATAGGATGTGTAATCAGCAGACTTGATTTCCTTACCTTTCTGTGCTGAGCGAAAGCCTGAAGCAAGCGGGGTTCCTTAACGAGTCTCAGCCCCTCCAGGCCTCTCTTGGTGTATGGGCCTCTACTCCAAACTAATTCTTTATTTAAAGCTATAGTGTGTGTGTGATTTTTTGTTTGTTTGTTTGTTTTGTACACCAAGGCCTCTACTTGTAAATCAATGACTTTATCTGGCGCTTAACCAAAGAAATAGTGATCTGTTCCAATACTGAAGAACTGGATATTTGAAATTTACTCAGAGATCATGTGTGATTCCCTTGAGGGATTTCCAGAGTAATATACACTCCGCCTGATTTTCACCTTTTTCAGCCTAACCTTTGAATGAACTCCAAATTTTGCTATTTCCATTGCAGTAAATCTAACCATACCTGGGTTCTCCCTACAGCCTACATTGGAGGACTGCCACGTTATATTACAGTCCAAACTCCTTAGTACAGGATACAGTCCAAGCCCTTCAAACTCACCTTACTAGCATAATTTATCAAACCTTAACCCTCTCCTTCCTCCTCTGCCCCAACTACCCTACCCTCCAGCTATAGCAAAAGTATGTAAGTCCTGATTTCGGGGACTGCCACCAAGGGTACATCTTCTGATTGTATGGCTCTGGTGGCCAGTGGGGCTTACACTTTCAGTCCCTCATGAAATGTATTCAGGGCTGTATACATTTGCATATTTTAAGAGCTGCTGGTCTGGTGTCCAGGCAGCCTGAGATGCATGCCTTTGGGACACTGACAGGTCTTGGCATATCCTCAACTGCTGGGTGCTATTAAAGATGTAACAGGTGGCTTGGGCAAGCACAAAGGTTTGCGAGACAACCACAAGCTAAGGTGCTGAATGACAAGGTTGAATGATAAAGCCATTCATTCCAGCTGGAAGAGGTGACTGTTTCATCTACTGTACCCAGCAATTCTACTCTGGGTATTTATCCAAAGAAAACAAAGATACTATTTCAAAGATATATTCACCTGCATTTCATTGCAGCATTATTTACAATAGCCAAGAAGTGTCCATCAATAGATAAATGAATAAAGAAATTGTGGTACATACATACAATGGAATATTATCCAGTCATGAAAAAGGAATAAAATTTTGCAATTTGTGACAACATGAATAGACCTCAAGGACATTATGCTAAATGAAGTAAGTCAGAAAGAGAAAAACAAAGACTGTATGATGTCTGTTATGTGTGGAAACTTAAAAAACGTATGTAAAAACTCACTGATATAGAGAACAGATTGGTGTTTGTCAGAGGTGGGCAGGGGTGTGGTAGGGTCAGGGGGAGGGGAAGAAAAATAGCTGAACTGTTTTTAGTTTAAATAAACTGAATAAATTTTTAAAAAATAAAGGAATTGTCACCATTATTTAAAAAAAAAGAGAGAGAGAGCAGAAAATAGCCCTGGCTGGTGTGGCTTAGTGGATTGAGTGCCAGCCTATAAACCAAAGGGTTGACAGTTTGATTCCCAGTCAGGGAACAGGCCTGGGTTGTGGATCAGGGCCCCAAGAGGGGGGCACATGAGAGGCTACCACACATTGATGTTTCTCTCCCCCTGTCTCCCTCTTCCTCCCTCCCTCTCCCTCTCTGAAAATAAAATAAATAAAATCTTTATAATTGAATAAATAAGAGCAGAAAATAAAATCCTACCTCTGAGGCATCAGACCTGTCTTAACAACCAGCATCTTCACCCTGATGTCCACTATGAAATAGCCATAGGTCAATGGAAGCAGGGATGGGGTGAGTATATTGATCTGATGACCTGATCCTCAAAGAGGAGACCCCTATCACCACCTTTGCTCTCCTAACTCATTGTTCCTGTTCTTCCAACTTCAGTCATCTCTGAATTTAAGTGGTTGTGAGGGACAGGATGGTACCTGACCTTTGTACATGGATCATAGCTAACTCTAGCACAGTAGGTAATGCTTGCAGACTTAATCGCTATGGGGTGAAATCAGTACCTCATGGAATGACTTTGAAAGTTCATATGCCAAGAAATCCTAGCTTTAAAAACTGAGAGATAAACTCAGTACTTTCTCCTTTTATTTATACAACAAACAGATAAACACAGAAGCCTTCTGTGAAGCAGTGCTTGAGCAAAGAGGGAACTGCAGCGTGCATGTGGTTTTATGCCACTTGCCTAGCTATTTGAGCTGATGATTCTTAATCTTTTGTTCTTCTTGAGCCTAAGTTCCTGATCTGTAAAATAAATGTGATACTATTTCTAAGACACCATCCAAGTAGAAATTCTATAAATCTATGGTTTTAAAACATTTTTTGCCAAGAAAGTGAATAGTAAAACACCTTTAGATCAAAACTTACAACTACGCAGATATTAATATTTACCAGACATAATTAATTCCCTTGAAATATACCAACCATATTAAACAAACATGGGTTGTAGCACAGAAAAAAAAAATACATGTGCTCTACCTACATTTTATAATAGTAAGAGCAGGGATTTAAGAGTCAGACAAACCAGCTTTTATTCGTGACTTGCCCTTTTAGTTAGTTCTGTAACCCTGTACAGATTACTTAACCTCTCTGGCACTTAGTTTATTTTTTGTAAAATGGGAATAATACTTAAACGTTTATAGTTACTGCCAGGTTTAAATAGTCTACACAGTACATATATTCACTGTTTCTTCATGATTTATGCACACTGTTTCTTCTGAAGGGAATAACTTTCTCACTCATCTCTACCTGGTACACTTGTACTCTTCTTTAAGACCCAGGTAAATGCCAGTTGTTACCACCACTTGGATCCAAAGTCCACTTCTAGGTATCTATTTGAATAAAATACCTGTATATATACATAAAGAGGCAGGTACAATGATAATTATTGAAGGTCTTTTTATAATAGCAAAATATTGGAAACCAAAATGTTCAATAGGGGACAGAAGAAATACACTGTGGTAATCCATACTATGGAATATATCCAGTGGTTAAAAGAATTACATGTGTGGTCATGGAAAGCTTCTGAATACCTAAATGAGAAAAAAATTACAGGAGAATATGCACTGTAGATCATAATATAATATAAATTATATATATAAAATGTGACATAGATTTTTATTATATAATACATATTATATATGTAGTATTTTATGTGTACATTTATTTATGTATACTCATAGAAGAGTGTTTAGAATGATTGGTAACAAATCATATCTGGGCAAGAGAGTAGGACGGGGAGAGTGTATAAAGGAGGCGTATGTTGTGTTTTATTGTTTGTTTTAATATATTAAAATTAAAAGGCACCTTTTCTCTAACTTTCTCCAATTCAGGTAGAGTCAGTTCTTCTTTCCATTGCAGTCTCACGAGACGGGGCTGTGCGTGGTGACTGTTTACCTGTGTCTGTCTCCCCTCAAGATGCTAAAGAGAACTGCAGAGGCTGTGTCCCTAGCAGGAGGCCTGGCTAATTAGGCACTCAATAAACGAATATTGGACAAAGGTAAAAACAAACAACAAAGAATTTGCAAAAAGCACAACAAATTACAGAGGATGTACCGACAGTTAAAAAGGAACACCTGAGGGGTGGAGCGAGTGACAACAATAACAATACTGTTATTCCAGGTCCCAGGCCTTGAATTCACAAATAACAGCCGTGGCAAAACTGAGGCAGCATAAAAGCAAAGAGAAAGGGCTGGATGCTTGTTCTGAGTTCTCCACCTAATGTCTCTACTAACTACCTTTGCTCCATCTTCCCTTCTGCCATCTGTAAAATTAGGGGTGGTGCTTTTATAGCTCTAGCATGCTATAATCCTAGGTGAATGTTTCATCAAGCTATAAGCGTTGCTTTTTCGTGGGTCACAAGTGGAACTCGCCGGTCTGGGCTCGTCATTACGTCTCTTCCGGGGAGGAACTGGCCTTCCGGTTCGCTTCCCAGAGTGGAAAATTGACCTTCATTGCTCAGTCAAGCACCAATACCTCTATAAATGCCTTCCCACGCGAGCTCCCTGGAGCAATATTTACTCCTCTCCCGGCGTCCCCCAGAGCTGCCTCAGATTCCAATAACCCGGCATTGGCAGGAACAAGAACTGCAGGGCGCTACATCCCTAACTGCTGAGAGTAATGGGTCTGACATTTAACTGGAAGCCTAAAGAAGAGAGAGCCTCCACCCATACCATCCTTTCCCTCGGGCCCGAAGTTAGGACTCTTCCTACCCCCGGGGACCGCCGAGCTCACCCCACAGCGCAGTCTCCCTGGGCCCGAGGATCGTGCGGCGCGCACTTGTAAACAGCAACCTTTGCAGCGGCATTACCAGCTCCTGCACGCCAAACTACTGACCACTTCCGCCCCCTGCCCCGCCCCGCCCCCTCCACCCGCTGCGGGTGGAGCCGTGTCGGGCTCTTGAGCGCCCTCCAGCCAGGTGCCGGCCGAACCGGGTAGTGGCACAAGGCGTAATAGCGGACCAAAACGTGCTTTAACATTTAAAATCTTTTGGAAAGCAACTAAGGGTTGGCTTGCTTTTTTTTTCCTATTAAGGAGAGACAAAGTTTAAAAGTATAAAGTAGGAAATATACCAAAGATAATATTTAAAGCTTTAAAGCAAATCCATTTCTCCAGTTTGCTTTTTAATAGGATTCTAATATATTGGATTAAAGCAAACTACATGGGTGCTTTCCTTAGAATTGTTCTGAACTTAACACAAATGTAGGATCTTGGATATTGGATCTGGGACTATACGAGGCATCAGTGAGATAAATGGTGGGTTTCTTTTTTTAAAGATTTTATTTATTTTTTAGAGAGAGGGAAAAGGAGGGAGAAAGAGAGGAAGAGAACTCCAATAACTATTTCAACTGATGCCAGTACTAGGATAATCTTATACTGTTATCTTTTCCCCACAATTTGATGATAATTTTGTCAGGGTTAGGTCCAATTATTTCTAAACGTGTAGTAGTTTCCAATTGCTACTCTAACACATTACCACAAGTTTACTGGCTTAAAACAATATAAATTTATTATGTACAGTTCTGTAGGTCAGAAGTCTCATTTGGCTAAAATTAAAGTGTCATTAAGCCTGTGCTTCTTCTGAAGGCTCTAGGAAAGAATTTTTTAAATTACCTTTCTCATCCACTACAGGCTGCCTGCATTCCTTGGCTAGTGGTTCCCTTTCCCATCTTCCAGGCCAGCAGTTTTGCATCTTCAGATCTCTCTCTAACTTTGATATGCTCCTGTTGTCACATCCCCTTTTCTCCCTCTGATCCTCTTGCCTCCGTTTTTTATGAACCTTTGTGATTACAATGGGACCACTCAGATAATCCAGGATAATCTCCCACATCAAGTTTCTTAATTTAGTCTATCTACAAAGTCCTTTCGCTATGTAAATTAACATATTCACAGGGTTCAGGAATTAGAATACCTTGGGGGGCATTATTCAGCCTGTCACATAAAGTTTCTTAGTACTTTGTTTTTAATTTATTCTTAACTTAGTTTTTAAGCATAATAAAAGCTATATTTAATTGTAAATTCACTCACAGTGAGAAATTTAAAAATTAATTTCTAAATGACATTATTAAAGTATGTGTCCAAGGAATAATTTCATTAAGCATGCATTTTAAATTGTTCAGTTTTCACCTACAATTGTGTTTTTCCAAATAATTTTGTAACAATGGAAAATTGTAATGGTGGAAAATTGTAACCCATCCCACCATTCTTTTGACATTGTTTCTGTAAGTGCTGACTCTGACTACTATGTAGCTTGTATATAAACAGCATGTTTGTATAACAATCCTAGGAAGTAGTTTCAAAATATACAGACTCTGACCTTCAGGCATCCCAGCTCCAAAAGATTTGCTGACTTTCACTCATGGAGCCAGGACGAAGGGACGCCAGGATGACTAGACCAGGATGATGCACACAGGACCATCGTTTGCCTTATTGGAATAGATTGTGCTCATCTGCATGTAGAGAACTTTTCAAACTCCTCCCTTGATCTCTTTGTTCTGTTTCCCCTCTTCCTCCATATAAAAAATCTCTGCCTCCACTGAGATGGGGAGGTGGGCTTTAAGACAGGAGTATCCCACGGTGGCCGGCACCTGAAATTAAATCACTTTCCTTTACATGAGCACCGGCTTCTTGAGTATTGGGTTTTGTATTAGCAGACAGCCGGACCTGTGTCTCAGTTACAATTTGGAGCTTAACTCTAGTCTCTGTGTAATCTATTTTGTGGCTTAACTTTGAACCAATATATTATCTATGGCAGATTCATGTACTCTTCATGGCATCCCCAAGCTGCCCTGAATATGTATTATAAACCACAGGTTGTATGACACAGACATGGAAACACTGTACCCAGCCTCCATGAATCACACTGAATGATTTATGCTTTGGCAAGAGCATGTGTTACTAAACAATGTTTTTCAATGTTCATGACTAATTATTTGAGAAATATGTTTCTGTAAGATTATTTTTTTCTGTAAAGGTGAATATGTCCCCTCATACCTAGCACAGTGCCAAACTTGGTTTATTTAAGAGTGGTTAAAGCAAAAAGATCTTGTTAAAAGATATTGCTCCTTGGATAGGTGTCCAAGTTCTTCCTTCAGAGAGAGGCAGCAAAGTCTTTAGTGGAATGAAAGGGAGAGAAATCATTTAACTTTTTGGGAGAGGTCTGCTAATGCTAAGTTGACATGAATCATTAATTTTCAAACAAATACTTAACATTATTTGAAATATATAAACAGCTGATCTTAATCAAATTTGTGTTTTTATTTATGTTTTGTTATAATGTCTTTGCAATAATACTGAAAATGTATTTACTGGGTACTGGGTACTATTTAAAAATTATTTCCTTTCTTTGAGAAATCCATCAAATAGTAAATTTTACTTTCAGTTAAGTGAAAAGATAAATAATTTGAAGAACCTCAGAAATAAAAACTTAGTGTTAGACAATTTTCCCTAACTCATTCCAAGTTCTAAAATGAAGATTGCAATCTCTGGAGATTTTGGTTATGCTAAGGTAGCATCTGCTGGAAATAAAGATAGCTTTAGGATTTTGTTAATTTAGAATTTTGTTATTTCTTTTAGAATTTTATTATTTCTAAGAAAAATTTAAGTATTGTATGGTGGTTTACATAATCCCTAATTTGTTTTTATGAAGCTGAAAAGCTAAACTTCAATATTCTAATTCAACACCCCCTTTTTAAGTGTAAATTGGATACGAATATATAGTACTTAAGAAAAAAACCTCATACTGCAATGCAATGTTATATGCAATATAAATTTTTTAATTTGCTCACCTTTGCGTGTCTTTTTCCCCTTCCATGTTCTGTTTCAGATCTGATGTTAAAATAAATGAAAACTTTTAATTTATGAAGTAGACAATTTAGACTTCAAAACTATACCACAATACAACCTGTGTTTATTGGGGAATATTTTCTTTTCTCGGGGAAAAAAAATCTCCTTACTGCAAACCATGATTATATATCCCTGTACCTAAAACACTGACTGACATATGCACTTAACCAAATGTATTTAACCAATACATTTATTTGTGGAATAAATGGTTTCCATACACAAAACATAAACATTTAGTAATCTCCTTAGTCAAGTTCTCTACATGGAAATAATTTTAACTACCTTGTAAGAAATGAATTAGAGTTTTTAAGGAAAAGTCACACATTTTGGCTTGTCTCTGATATGTTTTGACTCCAAAGCACTATCCATATGGCCAAATCTGACCCCTGCTGAAGAACTTTGAACGATTAGAAGACTTGAAGAGTTTATCCATAACTAGCGTGGATGTTTAAATACCATTCTGATGCATAAGGGCTCACAGAGAGGCCATGGGAGGCGTCATCCTAGTGACAGTGTCCAAGTCCTTGTCACCGCTCAAGGGAAAAATTCAGTTCAATCAAAATGTTTTCAAACCAGCTACTTTTACTAAGCAGGTGCAATGTGCAGACCACTTTAAGGGATAATCAAAAGTCCAAGTAGTAGAGGTGTAGATCAGGAAATTTCCTGTCCCGTAAGGGAGTGAGAAAGATAAGACAATAATAGTGGGGGGGGAAAGCAAAGTAATGTATGATGGCTGTCATACGCGACTTTAATGTACAGAAGAGTGTGACGGAGGGAATTACGCGGCTGTCCCAGCAGGTGCACCGCAACAAGTAAGACTTAATTCCGACTCGAGGAAGACGAGAGCTGTGCACTCCAGGCTGCTATTCAAATCCAGTTGGGGTGCACCGCTATTACTTTAAGATTGGCGGGCGCCTATCGAGCTCTGTCCACCTAGAGAACGTAGGTGACAGCGGACCCGGCCCGCCCAACCTACGCCCCACTCTGGGTGCGCCGCCTCCCGAGGGGCCGCCCTCCGCCAGCCCGTACGTGGGGGCTGTCCCACGAGGCCCCTCCCCTGCCGCTCGGAGGGCCGGCCGCGCAGGCGCAGTCTCTTCTGGTGTAGACGCAGAGGCTCGGTCCGCCGGGGTGAGTTGGGGGCTCGGTGATGGGGTCGCACAGATTCTCGGTCTTGGTTCTCGCGACCCCAGCCGCAAGTAGGGCGATGGGCCTGGGAAAGAAGCCCCCACACCCTCCCGTCTTCCCGATCCTTGGGGGCGCCAGGCGGTTACCTAGGGCCGCGTGAACCCGGCCGGCCGGGTGTCAGGGCGGTGGCAGGAGGAGCCGGGGGAGCCCGGGCAGGAGCCGGCGCGCCGGGGAGGGGCCGCGTCCCCGCCTCACCTTGGCCGAGGCGCGCGGCAGCCTGGCACCCATCCAGCCTCCCCCCCCAGCGGTCTCTCCTCAGGAACGCATTTCCTCTAAAGAAACTTGGGATGTTTTTTTAGTGACCAGAGGAAGCATATCTGACCACGGGTTTCTGGCAGCGTCGTGCAATGTTAGAAGCCCTGGAGGCGGACTGTCTGGGTCCAGATCGCCACCACCAGTACTGGCTCCGGGACCCTTGCACGTCACTTAACCTCTGTGTGTCCCAGTTTCTTCAACTGTAAAATGGGAAAATAATAGTAACCGCACTCATAAAGCGGTTGTGAGCATTCACTGGGCTTAGTATTTTCGAAAGGCTTAGAACCGAGTGTGATGCTCAGTAAAACGATATAAGTGCTGTTCATCTTTTTGAGTCTGTTATCTGAAAGGATATCTGTGTCCCGACCCCCGCTCCCTATCCCTGCCACTGAAAGTAATTGCCCAAGGGTAGGAAAACAAAAAGTTGGGTTTTGTTTGTTTGTTTGTTTGTTTAAATACGGGCTTTTGTGTGCATAAACTGCTTTAAAAAATTAAACATTTCTCATCAACTTAGTTGTACATCCTACATTAAAGAAAAGACATGTTAGGGTAACGCTGAAGTTGAAAGCTGAAAACTTCGGCTGGGAAACCAAGCGAGAAAAATGGCCAGAAAGTATTTACTGAAAAAAGCATGGAAGACCTGATTGCTGCCCTAAAAACGGCTGCTTGCAAGGTTAGCCCTTGTTTGGCATCTGGGAACAGTATGGTTTGTGCTGAAGTTGCCAGCTCCCTTAAAAATTCTGGGCCTGCGAGTCTATAATGGGTTTCCCTGGGCAAAAACACTGCGGAGATGCATTGCATTGGTCGATTTGACCCCTTCGGAAGGGGAGAGAACATAAGGGAGCCTGCAAATTGCAGGCTTCATATGTGTCTTCTTCCATTATGATCAGGCTGTGTGTTCATACTACATTGTGGTAATAAACGTTACCTAATAGTACAACTGACTTTATGCTGAGTTTTTTTTTTTGTCCATCTAGTGAATCTCCAAACGTGAGGGTGGTCTTGAAACTCCCCCGATGATGGAAAGAACTTGAAACTCTAACAATTGGGCTCATTTCTTTGTGCTTTAAAGGGAAATTGAAAAAGAAACCTGCACAGATCCATGATTGCTTAACAGTCCAAAATGATTCTGTATGTTTAGACATATTTATTGTATATGTCAGAAAAACCACTGGAAATTGACTTGACATTGCCAAGTTAAGTTTGGGTCAGTGTTTTTCAAAAAAGGCCCAGGTCTTACAGATTCCAGATCAAATACTCAGTTCTTTTTTGAAAATTCTGTCATCATTAGCTATGTGTTCATGCTCTTCTTTATCAAGAGTTTATCTTTGCAGTTGGGAAAAAAATATGACCACCTTCTTATGAGCCATTCCTCCCACCCAACCCCCACCCCCACCCTGTATTCTTTTAGTTCTATCTGTCTCTTTTTAGGGCTCACATTAAAATAGAGGTAAGTATGTAAGTTTGGGGGTAAAAAGATCATATTTGTCATCTGATTATGTCTCTTTTAGTAAAGTAGAAAACTAAATTGTATTTTAAGGAGTACGGAGATGGAAGAGTGGGAGGTTTGGGAGAGTGAAAAAGGTTTCAAATGGCTATGTGAGGAGTAGGTAAGTTGACCAGGTGTAGTAGATAATGGGATATCGTGATCCACTTGAGATTGTGTATGAATGTAGTGGACCCACTCCACTTTCTCACAAGACTTTGACCAGCCTGTTTGGATGCAAACATCGAGATAGTGGTTAACTGGGTTGACCTAGGATTGGGGTTCTGTTAGAGGGGTGATGTACTCATTCAGGCTGTTACACATATTCTGTCCCTCCTGTGTACATGATAAGGCTGCACTCTTTGTACATACCGTAACACCCCCCGTCATGTCTACTTGAAATTAAATGTGGATATATGACTTGTTTTGGCCACTGAAATATGAGCACATGTAACAGGTGTCACTTCCAAATGAAGCTTAAAGAATCAGCACTCCCATTTGCCGTGTCCCTTTTTCCCGGCCATGCTATAATGATCGTGGAAGCACTTGTTGAGATGCAGCCTCTTGTCAGCCTGGGCACTAAAGACGAGTGGGAGTGGCTGATCAAGCAAACTGGAAGAGCTTCAAGTTGTGATCAGAGAATGGAATACTTGAATTAGTGATTTTGGAAGGTGGAACTGTAGGGTTAAGTGGATGAGGAAGATGAGAGGGAGAAGGCTTTCAGAAGGAAACTTGAAGGCCTTGTGCATCTCGATGGCCCTGAGGGCCTTAATTTATTGTAGCTCAGTTCAATGATAACCCTTGGACTTAAAGAATTGACTCATAAAATGGTAAATTCAAAGGCTCCCTTACGTGGAACATGGTATGACTAAATCAAAGTTCAGAATTTATAACAATTGAAAGATTCCCCCATCTTGATCAATAAAAACAAATAACCATGAAAATTACAGTGTAACTTAGCCATAGAGCTGGGTGATAGTAGAATTTAGGCAAGCTACTTTAATGGAGACTCCAAAATATAGGGGTTTAAAACATGCTCATTGTGTATCTAAAATCTTTAGAATTAACTGAGTTTATAGAAATACAAGAGAAAGAGGTAAATAACACCATGAAGAAAGAGTTAAATTCAGTGTGGAATATTATACAGATCTTGCTACCGAAAATGTGGTCTGTGGACCCCTAACAATGGCTTCCCATTGGGAGCTTGTTAGATAGGTAGAATCTCAGGTTCCATGCCAGCCTTGTTTCATCAAAATCTACATTTTAGCAAAATCTCCAAGGTGACTCATGCACTGCCCTGATCTCTTAAAAAAGCCAGTGTTTTGCCCTGGCTGATGTGGCGCAGTCGATTGAGTGCTGGCAGGCCTGCGAGCCAAAAGATTGCCAGTTCAACACCCTGTCAGGACAAAAGCCTGAATTGTGGGGCCAGGTCTCTTTGATGTTTCTCTCCCTTTCTTTGTCCCTCCCTTCCCTTCTAAGAAAAAAATAAATAAAATCTTAAAAAAAAAAAAAGTCTCAGGAAGGTAAGGCACTGTTAACTCTTATCTTTTATGGGAAGAACAGTTGTAGATTAAAAGATACTAAAGTGACATAACCAGTAGAAAGTACAAGCCCTAATTGAATCCTTATTCACAAAACCAGTACAGAAACAGTTGTGGGTCACCTGAAGAAATTGGAATATGGTAGGATATGAGATAATATAAGGAAATTATTAATATTTTAGATGTGATAATGATGTGATTATATAGAATATTCTTAAGAGATACATGCTGTCTGCAACTTTCAAACAGTTCAGCAAAAACATACATACATGCATATATGTACATTGATGTTTACATAAAATAAATGTGCAAAATATTCTAGATGTGGAATCTCCATAGTATGCGGGTATTCATCATTCTGTCCTTTTAACTTTTGTGGAAGTTTAAAATTTTTCATAATAAAGTGAGAAACAGTACGATGGCTTTAAAAGATAGAAATTTATTTCTCAGTAGTGTAGCTCTAGGTCATACAGCAAAGATGGGGTGGCTCTACTATTCTTGGCACGTGGCTTTACCAACTCTTACTATCTCCTAGCTAGTGGGACAGGAGAAAGGGCAAGGAGAACACATGACCCAGAAGTGGCACTTGTTCCATTGACCAGAACTTTAGTTTTTTCATTCACCTAGACAGCATATATCTAGGGAGTAGTTGGGAAAAGTCAAATGTAAAGTGCCATTTGTATATTGGTATAATAAAGATTTTTGTGATTCCAGCTTACTCTCCCCTCTTCTTCCTCTGTTGATTTAGTAGTCCAATTAAAATTGAAGTAAATTCAATTTTATATGCATTAAGTAAAATACATAAAATTTTAATTTTGAGGATTAAAGTGTATTCATCCCCCTGTCCCCCACCTTTTCAGTAAATAACAGATGCGGGTGAAGGAGCCATCCAAAGTTTTGCCTGAGAAAGCCAAAAGGAGTAAAAGGCCTACTGTACCTCATGATGAAGACTCTTCAGATGACATTGCTGGTAAATTGTGATACCTAGCACCCTAATAGACGTGCAGAAAAGAAATAACTATGTCTTCTTACAATTATTTTTTCATTACAGTTTACATTCAGTATTTTGTATTAGTTTCAGATGTACAGCATAGTAGTTAAACAATATGATTTTAATTTATAAATTCTTTTCTCTTTATTTTTACCATTTTCTGTGTGAACTTTAAAATTAGCTCTCTAGTTCCAAAAAATGCTGTTGGTATTTTTATTGAGATTTTATTTAGGTTATAAAATAATTAGAATTGGCTTATTTTTGTTGTGGTCCTTTTTCTCATGGTCTTGGAGGATTTTATTTACTTTCTTACCAGTTTGTTCAGCCCTTCATTTAAAAAAGATGCTTTTAATATATTTCAGTTTTTATGTGTTTTTAACCTAGATAGCGTTTCAGGATAGCTAGATTGCTGTATTGAAGGAAGTCTGAATTTTATCTTTAAGTGTTCTATTCTGTTAAAAAGATTTTCTTCAGAGATTCTGATTATTATGTTAACTCTCCTTTGCCTGTCTTCTGTAGTTAACATTTTCCCTCAAATCCTCTAAAACTCCTGTTTCCTTTTCATTTTGCTTGCTGTTTTTATTTTTATCCTTTATTGTGTTTTCAGCAGTGTCTGTGTCACTTTATGGGCTTTTTAGTTTTGCCTTCATTTTTATGGTTTTATTATTTTTTTCTTCCACTTCTTTCCTGAACTCTGCCAGTCACTTCCTAGTGTTTTGCCACCTCATATTAGAGGGTTTGCTTTTGTTTTGTGTTTTTATTTCATGGCAGTGATTGCTCTGCCATGATTTTCCATTTCCTTTCTTCCTTTCTCATGTCATCTTAGCATAGAATTGCATCTGATTTTTCTTTGAGTACTCATTCTTTGATGTAGGGTTGCTTTTCTTGGGCCAGTAAGTTTTTATTAGTGACTAGGGAGAACCTGTAGCCTAGGTATGTGCCCTGACTAGGCATCGAACCTGTAACCTTTGGTCTATGACACCACGCTCCAACCAACTGAGCAACCTGGGCAGGGCTATGTGTACATCTTAATAGAAAGAAAATATATTCAAAATGCTAGACACGTGGTAGCTGTTCAATAAATAATCTCCTTTATTTTATTTACTTACGAAACTTTTATTTTTGAACTAATTTTGGATTCATAGGAAGGTACAAAGAAATATACAAGGAGGTCCCATTTACCCTTCATCTAACCTTTCCTGGTTTAAAGTACTGTATTTCAATAATACAGTATCAGAACCAGGAACCTGACATTGGGGCCATCCTTAGAGCTTATTCATATTTCACCAGATAAACATGCATTGTGTGTGTGTGTGTGTGTGTGTGTACACATGCATTTGTAGCTTAATACAGTTTTTTTACATGTGTAGTAGCTTTCTAGGACCACCACAGTGAAGATACTTGACTGCTAAATCACCATGGGAAGTTTATGCCTGTCTGTTGCCACAATTCTTTCTCCCCATCTGCAGCCTTTGGCAATCACCAATCTGTTCTCCAACTCTGTAATTATGTTACTTCACAAATGTTTTATAAATGGAATCATGCAATATGTATCCTTTTTTGAGTTATTTTGTTTTTTTAAATCTCAGTGCTTTTCATTTATGACACTGTAATGTCAGTGACTTCGCTTACTGATGGTAGTATTTTGGTTTAGCAAAGGAAATGCTCAAATTTTGTTTTGTCTTATTCAGTAGGTTTCACTTGCCAACATGTAAGTCATGCTGTCAGCGTGAATCATGTGAAGAAAGCAATAGCTGAGAATCTGTGGTCAGTTTGCTCAGAATGTTTAAAAGAAAGAAGATTCTACGATGGACAGCCAGCACTTTCTTCTGATATTTGGCTGTGCCTCAGGTGTGGTTTTCAGGTGAGAAAAATGTTTTTTATGTGTGAGTTTGCCTTAAATAGTTTCTTTAATGCTTATTTTGAGTTTGATTGTTAGTAATGTTTAGAACTTGAGGTGAGTTTTACTCCTTGTTTTCAAAGAACCCTCTAAGGCTGAGATTAGAAATGTTTAAGGTAAAGGGTATGTTTTGTTCAGAAGTAAGTGTGGTTCATAAAAACTTGAAAGGGAATCTAGCCCACTCGCAATGGTTCTCATATCTAGACTTGCCTTTACCTATGTCTATTTATGTTTTTTTGAGTTTGAATATGACTTAAGTTTTGGTTAACTTGAAACAAATCTATTTGTAAATCCTACTAATAGTATTGTGCTCATCTTTAGGGATGTGGTAAAAACTCAGAAAGCCAGCATTCATTGAAGCACTTCAAGAGTTGGAGAACAGAGCTTCATTGTATTATAATTAGTCTGAGCACGTGGATTATATGGTAAGTTAGTGCTTATGTCCACTACAAAAATGTCCTTTATTTTTTTAGTTCCATTGGTAAATTAAAGATACTATACCAGCTTATGCTTTTTTAGCCTGAATACAACCTATAGAAAATATGAGTACACATTTTAAATAAGAAAAAAATTAGTCCTTCCTCTACTTTTCTTTAACATTTTCTTTGTACAGTCAAGAAACATTCCTTCCAGTTATTTTGTGTAATGAACTTGCTCATACAGGATCCAAAGTTCTAGAGGAGGAAGGTACTTGAATCAGTCAAATGGTTTGGTGATTCTCTTCCGGGAAAAGGGAACTTCTTAGGCAATTCTGTTAATACTATATAACTTTGGTTGGGATTCAGGTCCAGTTCCCTCACTTTATGTATAAGGACACTGAATATCATTTACCTTTTTGTGGTTACAAAACAAATCCAGGCACTAATACAAGTCTTTTGATTCCCTTGTTTCTTCTCAGCATACCGCACTGCTTCAGTGGTATAAAGTGGACACTGTTGAAAACCTTCCCTTGTATTTTACAGCAGAAGTTTTCTAATTGGAATTTATAGACTCCTAGAGTCCCTTAAATGAATTTTCAGGAGTTTTCAAGTTTTCTTTAAGACAAAAAAAATTTGTCTTTGTGTTTTTATTTCAAGTTTCTAAAATCAGGATATTTTGGCCTATAGGAGAGATTATCATTTTATAATTTAATTCAGCCACAGGGTTGGGTGGTTGCATTTGTGTTTTCGTTGTTGTTAATCCCAAGTAATAGCACTGGGGAGAAAGAGGAAAGAATAGAGGGAACTTAATATGCGTTGGAGCCAGGGGAGTCAGAGATGCTATCTAGTGTGGCAGGTCAGTAAACATTCCTCTGTGGTCTTAAGAGAAGCAATGGTCTCAAACTATGGGATGCCTCAGAATCCCTGGGAAGGCTTGTTAAAATAGAGTGCTGGGTCTCAGGCCTACAGATTCTGATTTAGTAGTTTTAGGGGAGGGGCCTGAGAAATTGCCTCTGTCAAGTCCCCAGGTATTGCCAGTCTGCTGGTCTGGGGACCACAGTTTGAGGACCACTGAAATAGAAAAACGGGGTGGGAGACTTACGTGGTGCCTGGTAAAATAGCCCCATCTTAAGTCGATCTGTGTCAGAACTTCTGTAGTAGCTCTTAGGGTCATAATTATGGCCTGATAATTTCATGATTTAATTTCAGCAAAAAAAGCATTGCTAATTATAATCTAATTGATTTTATAATTTTGTTTGTATATTTAATTATTTGCTTTCATAACAAGGGTGATGATTTTATTGAGTTTTGTGAGTGGATGTGTTAGAATTATATTGTAATGAAAATAAATCACAGTTCGGGGTATTGAAAGGGAATTATTTCTCTTTTAAAGGAAGAAATTCAAGTTTGTTACTTGCATTGATAAAGAATTTAAAGATTATGACTATTTTCTTTTCCCTTTTATTTTTTTCTTTCCAAAAAATGTTTTAAATTTTTAAACTTTTCTCCCATCTAATTCTTAAATGTTAAAAAGTTTAACAATTTCAATAGAAAACTTCACTAGTTTGGATTAAAGAGAGAGCCAGCCTGAACTAAGGAAAAAGCTAAAGAAGAGAATGTTGTAGATTTCATAATTTAATTATGGCTAACAAAGTATTGCTAGACTGTGGATTTGATACTGCTTTAACAGATAATTATTATTAGCACAGTCATTTCTTATCTCTGACTTCAGTCAGAATCACACGGATGGCATTTTAAAACCACATAGGTTCCAGTAGTAGTCCCTATTAAATCAGGGCTTCTCCATTTTTTAAGTTCCATAGACGACCGTCATGCTAACCAAGGTGAAGGGGCACTGATTTAGCACTTAATATATGAGGTCTGCCTGGAAAAAGTCCAGCCAGTGTTAATATAATGAAAACAGTTTGTGTGACATCCATGTAACCTGGCAGCCAAGGAGAGTGGACTGGAATGCGCATGTGTGAACAATAACTATTTCACTGTAGGGTGGGGGTGGTAAACACCGTTGAGTGAGTATGCGTACTGTGTGGCCATCACATTCAAAAGGACTGAGTGAGTAGAGCACCAAATCTGCATCAGATTTTGCATTAAGCTTGAACATTCCCCCATGGAAAGTATCCAGATGATTCCAAAGCCCACAGCAATGGACAACTGCTGATTGACAGCTTCATCATGACAATGTACCTGTTTATGCATTGTGTCTCATGCAGAGTTTTTTGGCAAAACATCAAATCACCCAGGCGACTCAGTCCCCGATAGCGCAGGTTTGGCACCCTGTGACTTTTGGCTTTTCCCAAAACTAAAAACACCTTTGAAAGGGAAGATATTTCAGACCATCGATGAGGTTTAGGAAAATACAACGGGGCAGCTGATGGAGACTGGGAGAACTGTGTGAGGTCCCAAGGTGCCTACTTTGAAGGGGACTGAGGTGTCATTGTCCGATACACAATCTTTTCTGTATCTTCTTCAGTAAATGTCTTTTTTTCATAGAACATGGCTGGATAACTTCTGGACAGACTTCATATGAATTACTGCTTTTAAAGTGTCTGTTTCTCATCTGTAAAAAGAAAATATTATACTTCTATAAAGCTTTTTATTTTGAAAACGATGATTTTTTTTATTGTTGTAAGGAATTAAACCAGAAAATACACATGAAGCACTTAGGATAGTGCCTGACTCATAGTATATGCTCGATTAAACTTTTTTTGTTACTACTAGTGGAAACAAGTAGAGTTAGCTTAATTTGAGCTGTCCTTTTTTCTCCAAATCCACTGACATTTTGCAGTTTTTATTTATGTTTCCTTTTTGTACTCTTAAAGTTGCAATATATTTTATAACAAGTAAACAAATTCTAGTGTCAGTAAAAATTTCTTAACATTTCAATATTTTGAAAATGAGCAATTATATTTTTACTATTTTTGGCAATAGTTACATCTGTATCTATTGAGCACCTATTATAATGTAAGCCTGGTAACTGAAATTAAATTGTTTAAATTCCATACTAGCCTATGAAAAAGAGGTTTTGGGAATGTTTTCTGTGACTCATTTCCTTCATGGATTTGTCTGTGTATCTATTTCTGAGTGCAAGTGATAGAGTAGACAGTAAATATTTGACCCAGTTCACAGCCATTAATCCCAGGACCACTAATATTTATACGTAAGAAGATTGTGAATATGTAAGTTAGTGTTGTTATAATACATTTATAAAACTTTCATCACTTTCAAACACATGTTTTTATTTGATCGTTGGATTTCATGAAGATAAAGGAAACAGGTAATGATAATATATAGAAGAAACCTTTATTAATACTATATGCACTAATGAGTACACTTAGTGGAGGATCGTTTTCTGAAAAGGTATGTGTTTTTGAAAATTGTTCTCAAACTTCTTCCTCGCAAATAAGTCCCAAACAAAATAAAGCACTAATCTCATCCAGTCTTCCCCACCTCCATCTGTAAGTGGATCCTCCATCACTTAAGTGTTCAAGCCAGAAGGCTGGCGGTTATTTTCTTCCCATTTTTATTTTATTTTATTTTTTAACCTTTTAACAATAGTAGACAAATAGATAGTGATTTTTTTCTGTACCTACCACCCAGCCTTAAACATTACCAACTCACAGCAAATCTTGTTTCCTTTAAACCAGGACTTCTCAGTCTCAATACTATTGTCTTTTGGGCTTATAATTCTTTTTGTGAGGGGACCGTCCTGTACATTATAGGATGTTTAGCAGGATCATTGACCTCTCAACCCACTGGGTGCCAGTAGCTGCTTCCCCAGTGTGACAACCAAATAGTCTCAAAACATTGCCAAATGCCCTGTGGGGAGCAAAATAGTTCCCATTTGAGCCCTGGCTGGTGTGGCTCAGTGGACTGTCAGCCTGCGAACCAAAGGGTCACCAGTTCAATTCCCAGCCAGGGCACATGCCTGGATTGCAGGCCAGGTCTCCAGTAGGGAGTGCATGAGAGGCAACCACACATTGTTGTTTCTTCCCCTCTTTTTCTCCCTCCCTTCCCCTCTCTCTAAAAATAAATAAAATAAAATATTCCTGTTTGAGAATCGCTGACATGCCTCATGTACTTCTCCCTTCTCAGGGCAGTTATTTTGATGCTTTGCTTTCCCTTATCCCTTATCTTTTAACTCTAATTTATTCATTTTATACCTGAATATATATAAGATAAATGTGTTCATTTTTCTCCATATCCACTCTTTCCTTCCTTTTCTGCTAGTATTCCTGATGCTCTCCAATTTGACATTAGTCAGTGATAGTTTTGAGTTTAAATTGGACTGTATCACTCTTCTGCTTGAAAATGGAAGCCTTAGGGCATTCCATTACACTTAGGATAAACTACTAAGACTTTAATTTGAATACTAAGGCTCTGTATGAACTGTCCACTGCATTTCTCTAGACTTTCCTGGTGCCTCATCATAATTTAAAGACAAAAGTAGATAAACACCTACTTTGTTACCTGATGTACAAAATTATTGAAAATACTTTTGTAATATTTGCTTAAATTTCGTTTTCAGGTGTTACGAGTGTGATGAAAAATTATCAATACATTGTAATAAGAAGGTTTTGGCTCAGATAGTTGATTTTCTCCAGAAACATGTTTCTAAAACGCAAACAAGTAAGTTAAGCAATTGCTAAAGAAATTTGTATTAAACTATCATATTTTTTATTTTGTACAAAAAGTTCATAAACTCATAAAGAGTACCTAAGATTTTATGGTCACCTCTCAGTACACGTGCTGTGCATTCTTTGGTAGCTATCTTGTGCTGTATTTATATAACCAGTAATGAGAAACTGGTGAGGGTAGTGCCTATATCATGGGCTTTTGAGTCAGATAGTGCTGAGTTTGAATTTAGGCTCATACTTAAAGTTACTTAGTGTTTATGTGGCTTTTACTCCTTAGTTTCCTCACTTAAAAAAATTAGCATAACAATTCTATCATGTCCAGTTGTTATGAGGCCGAGACATTTTCTAAAGATTTAGAAATAATGCATGTAAAAATACTTGTGTAATGCATGACACATATTTATGAAATGATATCTGTTATTTGTTACCTAATTATAGTGCGGTTCTGACATTACCTGGAATTAGGCTAACCTTACAGAGTAAGGGCACAGTGTCCCCACAAGATGCCATCCTAGCGCAGGGGTTCTCAGGCCACCCACATTTCTGAACAACTCGCTACAAGTTCGGTGCTTTATACTACCCTCTTTGGTTTAATAATTTACTACAATGATTCAGAGAACTCAGGAAAGTATTAACCTTACAATTACAGTTTTATTATAGCAAAAAAAAAAAATATATACATACAAATCAGGACTAGGCAAAAAAGAGAGGGAGTCACACAGAGTGGGTCTGGGAAGGTGTAGCTTCTGTATCTTCTTCCTGTGGGGTCAGGATGCATCACCTTCGGGCACGCTGATGCGTAACAGTATCCAGAGTGTTATTAACCAGGGAAGCTCGGTGGAGCTTTGATGTCCAGAGTTTTTATTGGGATTTCATTGCAGAAGCATTGCCACATGATTGAATTCAGTCTTGAGTACCCTAGCCCTCTAATCACACGGTTGGTCTTTCCGGCATGACTGGCTCCCATCCTGAGTCATTTCATTAGCATAAACTGTCTAGGCACTCACAATGAATATAAAAGACACTTTGTTAACTTTGTTAACATAAACTATCAAGTGTGTTTGGAGGGGCCCAACATGAATTAAAAGGACACTTCAGCTACTCTGGATATCCAAGGCTTTAGTGAGTACTCCTCAGGAATGTGGGATAAAGGGCAGCCGATTTCTTTATTATGCAGTAATATATTATATATTATATACTTTGTTAATCTATTTATATATAAGCCATATATAATACATGTTAATGCAAATGAATAGTAACAGGGAAGCAGTTTCTTCATTCAAAAATATTAACTGCCTATCACATGCTAGGTTTTATACTTTATTTTATATGTAAAACAAAAACACTTTATCTTGCCCTTTTGGGGTTTAGAGTATAGTGGAGGAGACAGACAAAAAATAAGCAAATATATAATTTTTGATAAGTGCTGAAAAGGAAAATAGATTGCAGAGATAAATGATAATGTAGCGGTCACAGTGATCGAGAAAGACCAACATGGCTGGAGTGTGGTTTGCTGACAGAGTAGAATGAGCTGAAATTAAGAGGTGGTGAGCAGGTCATGAAGGATACTGCAAGGAATTCCTTGGTGAAGAATTTTGATTTTATTGGAAGTGTAATGGAAGCTATTGAAGTATTTTAACCAAGGTAGTAACAGTTATTTCATCTTTTTTAAAAAATATTTTTTTAGCCCTGGCTGCTTTGGCTCAGTGGGTTGAGTGCTGACTTGCGAACTAAAATGTTGCCACTTTGATTCCTTGTCAGGGCACATGGCTGGGTTGTGGGATAAAGGGCAGCCAAGTTCTTTATTATACAATAGGGGGAATGCCAGAGGCAACTGATTGATGTCTCTCTTTCTCCCTCCTTTCCACTCTAAAAATAAACAAATAAATTTTTTTTTAAATATGTATTTTTTTTTTAAGAGAGGGAAAGGGAGGGAGGAGAGAGAGAAGCATTGATTTGACTGAGAAACATCTATTGGTTGCTCCTCGGATGCACCCCTACCGGTGACTGAACTCGCACCGAAGGCATGTGCTCTGACTTGAATTGAGCCAGCAATCTTTCACTTTGCGGGAGGACACCCAACCAGCTGAGCCACACCCACCGGTCAGGGCAGTTATTTCATCTTTTTATAAGATTTATAAGATTACTCTGATTGCTCCAGGGAGAGTAGACTGTTGGGGGTTAAGAGTGAAGGTGGGGAGATGACTGAGGAGGTGAAAGGAGCTTATGGTGGTAGGCCAGGTGGGAGACTAACAGAGGCACTGGTGGCAGGTGCGTGGGGTGAGGTGTGATGAGGGAGGGAGCGAGGGAGGGGGCAAGGACAAACCTCAGGATTTTGAACAACTAGATGAAGGGAGTAAATGGACGTGATAATTTTGAAATGTCTTTGGAGCAGAATTGAACTGCTTAGTAATTGACATCAGAAACTAAAAAAATTATATAAAAATAGAGTTGTCAGCCATAGTTTCTGTAATCCAATATATGTTCTATTTGTTAGCTATTGCTCTTGAGACCATAATGGTGAAGAAATGGGAGGAGGAACTAGAAGAAGTAAACTCAGGTTCCTGGACAGTAGAATAAATGACTCATTTTATCGCCTTTATTCATTCAACTAACATTAAAATCTTACTCTGTCCCAGGCATACTAGTCATAGCTCCAATTATGTTTAAATCAAGGATCAGGAAAAATATGGTGGTGACAGACATTTACTACTTCAGGAATAGAGATATTGGTCTCAGCGCAGTCCCCTGAAAACTGCATATTAAATTTGTTTTGTTGTCCATAATAAGATATATAGGGATATGATGCCAAGGGTGGCAAAAGTACAACTGTAAAAATTATTTTCTCTGTATTTTTCACCTTAGAGCATCCTTGAGGTTAAGAACAAAACCAATCTGATTGCATTTAATTTTACAGATTTCTTGAATACTTATTGTCATAAGGAATGTAAGGTAGGGAGCATGGGATAATATGGTAGAAATGACATGGGCTTTGAGTCAGGCATTCTGGCATTCAAACTTGACTCTTTCAGGCACTAGCTTTGTGACCTGGGGCAGATTACAGTTTGCCTGAGCCTCATTTGCCTCAGCACTTCTTCCCTCTTTCCATGGGGCTCCCAGGAATAGAGATTGATAAAAGAGTTCCTGCCTGAAAGAAGTTTAAGAATAAAAGAAGTTGTGAGATTAAAAAGTAATGATAATGTAAGTAGGATAGAATTTGTATTCTGAGAGACGCTTAAAGTCCTTTAGATATTCAAAGACGGATATAATGTTCAGTTGAAAGGAATCAAGAAGGAATCTAGGATGGGTTGTCTTTCAAGCTGACCCTTAAAGGGTGAACTTGGGATAAATGGAGATGAAAGAAAAAATCATTTCAGGTGGTAGAAAGGAACTATGTAAACTTTAATTGTGTTTAGGGAGCCATGGGTAGTGCCTGGAATAGTTGGAATAGGTTCTTGAGGGAATTTGAGAGTGTATAGAGCTTCCAAATCTAGAGAGAGCGACAGTTCTGAATTTGAGGTCTCTAGCAGTTCTAGGGCAGAATGAGGATATCTTTGTTTTCCAAGCTACAGGATTTCTCAGGCAAGTTTGATTTAAGATCCCTTGGCATTCTGTAAGTTTTCGGGATAGTAATTTGCCATAGTCTTTCTTGCATGAGGCTTTAGTATATTTTTATCAAATACTTTAAAAATCAAATGTGGAAGTTGCTATTGAGGTCTGTAAGAATGTTTGATATGATTATGCAGCTGTATATAGTAATTCAAAAAATATGAAACTGTGTATATTGTATTTAGGTGGAAGAACAAGAATGGTTTGAAAAGATTCTTTTTATGTTTTGCACTAAGTAAAAATAACTTTACTGAGAGGAAAGCCTGTACCTACCCCTTAAGCATGTTTGAAGTTACACAATGCCTAAGCTAATTTCTAATACATCTACATCAGCTTCTCTACACAGAGAACCTAGGCCAGTGGCCCATCCATCTCTTAAAAAGAACTAGCTCAGTGAACCTCAGCTTTTGGCTTAATAGTCTGTTAGACTCTTAAAAAAGTATTGAGGACTTGAAGAGCTTTGATTATGTAGGTTATATATTAATACTTACCATACTAGAAGTTAAAACTAAATTGATTAAAATATTAATGTACTGAAAAATAGCAGTAATTTCATGGTATGTTAACACAAATAACATTTTTAAGAAAGAACTATTTTTTAAAAATAACACAAATGTAATAAGTAGCATTGTTTTACATTTTTCCAAGTCTCTTTAATGTCTGGCTTGATGGAAAAGAGCTGGATTCTCATACCTACTTCTACATTCAGTCTGATGTGGTATCACATGGCATGGAGCCTCTAGAAAACTGCATTGTATAATTGAGAATGAATGAAAGTAAAAAAGGCAAACATCTTAGACTTATAAAGTACTTTTGACCTTAAGAGCCTCGAAAGAAAGGTGTTTTCAGATACACTTTCAGAGCTGCTGACCTAGCACATTTCTGTCTATATTTTCTGTCTGTAAGTCTTTGGCCTTACTTGCTCTTGGGCTCAGCTCAAATTCTACTCCAAGAACACTTGCCTAATCCTTTGTCTTATCTCCTTTCTTCTATGCAGCATACATTAGAATGTAATACTACAGCATTTTGCAGTGTTTAGCTTTCATGTGTTTATGTGTCTGATTTGTAAAACCGTATGTTCCTTGAGGATCATACCCTGACTTACATTCTTTTTTATTCCTACGTGGCTATGCAGTAAATACTTGCTGAATTGAACTGAACTAGCATGTAACCAGTTTTTACTGGGGAAGTAGATAAAAAGCTTTGCATTTTTCCCCACCAAAACCCCTGAATATTAATATTAAAATTATTTTATTTATTCATTCAGTCTTTTTTTTCTTTCTTTATTTATTTTTAAATACATTTGTCTCTGCATTCAGTCGTTTAATATGTTTGCATTTCTAGCCAGATGCTGTGCTAGATATTGGAGATACAGTAGTGAAT